CTTGTTAGTCTTTAAGGTGCCGCGCGCTCCTGTTCTTTCCGCTCCCCCGTGGAGCGTCTCCTCGATCCCCCATAGAAGTGTCTTTAAAATGACACATGAACTTTCACCGTCAGAACTTTTCAGGAGCGCTAACGAGTGTAGTTCTAGATGGTCCTACAGGTCATAGAAATAAATATTTCATCTCTCGGAATCTTGCAGAACTTGTTAGTCTTTAAGGTGCCGCGCGCTCCTGTTCTTTCCGCTCCCCCGTGGAGCGTCTCCTCGATCCCCCATAGAAGTGTCTTTAAAATGACACATGAACTTTCACCGTCAGAACTTTTCAGGAGCGCTAACGAGTGTAGTTCTAGATGGTCCTACAGGTCATAGAAATAAATATTTCATCTCTCGGAATCTTGCAGAATTCTTGACCTTAATTTTGAGTCTGTTTTATGCGTTGAGTGAACATAGAGTTCCTTTTAATCCGGTCTAAATTTGCCTGCCACGTTTTAATTTCAGTGAATGACTCTTTGCTATGATGTTATGAGATGGCACAGAAGCTCCTCATCTATCTTCTCAAACATTTATTTTTATATAATCTAATCAAGTCTCCTTTCTAAACCAAACTATCTCAATCTTTTTAATCTCTGCATGAGAGTTAGTCTGTGCTCCTAATAAGTCGTCTTGCCCTTCTCTGAAACATCTTTCATGCAATATCTGTTTTGAGATTGTGACCATCCATGCTATTCCAGATGAAGCTGTATCATTATGGCATGAATTTTCTCTAGTCTCCATTCTGTTCTTTAGGCATCAATATAGTAAACACTAAAGTGAATAAGGTACATTGAGGTTAACTCGCTGTTTGCTTAATGAAAATTGACCATTCTTTCTGTTGTTGCATATGTCAGCTGTTCTTGGCCCCTGAGTGTTCTGCCTCTTGCTTCATAACTGCTTGGTTCCTTTCATAGCCTTTAATGAGGGATTTTTTGAAAGGGCTTTTAGAAAATCTAGTTCCTGTCATCCTTTATCCACTACTTTAGTGAGCCAGTCAAAGTACATGTACAAGATGAAGATTAACTGATCATGCCTGGGAGGAGTGGCGATATATTGCATGCTGCATTAAACACGGTGTGCTTTTTTTAATTCAGTAAGAATTGCTGAAAATTAGGCACAGTAGTGTGGGGTGCAAGAAATCCAAATTCAGTGTGTGACCTTGGGCAAATCATTTTGTGTTTCAGTTCCTACTTGTAAAAACAGTTCTCTTCCTCAAAGTGGTGGAGGATAAAACCATAAATATTTGGGAGGTACTTGGCTGTATGCGGGGTGGGGTGGGAGGGAGACTATAAATGACTAGGTAGCTCTTCCTACTTTCTCTGTATAGATTTTAATAACACAGGAAAGATTATCTATATGTTTTTTCCAGGGGGGAAAAAATCTAGGTAATTATGCTGGTGTGCAAAGAGTCAAAAGTAATGTTAAATGCAAGTTGATTCCAAACAAAAGAGGGAAAGCACTTGCCAATAGAAGGAAACGATTATAGGCCATCCTTCCTACAAGTCCAAGAAACGTCCCAAAAAACTTGTATTTATAGCAAAACAACTTAAAGTGGGGAATTTTTTTTCTGCAGCTGACTTACATTTGCGCAAATTGTGTTTATTTTTTCACAGCATAAGTCCTCCCATTCCTTGCTCTTATAACACATCAGTTCCTACAAGTGTCAGCAACTTTAGTGCAAAATGGATATATTCCGGGTGATTTATAACGGGGATGCCCTGTTCATAATTGTAGAAAGCTTTTTAATTTTCTAAATTTCTAATGGTAAACTGCAGAGTGAAGAGCAAAATAATGTAATTAAGTCATTTTTTTTAAAGGTACAAATTTAACAAGCATGTCAATTGTCATGTTGGATTTAATGCTCTCCATTTAATATAGAACTATAGAAGTTTTTCAGTAGGATTAAAAAAGAATCCAATAAGGTTTTTTTATACTGCGAATTGACCAAAAAGTAATCTCATTTCTGGCCTCATTTTGTTTCAAAAAGCCATATAGAAGCTTTGTTCATTATCTTATTCCTGATATTTAGACAAGGTGAAGCTTTGCCCTGGAACTCTCATAATCCAAGAATCAATTTTTCTGCAGCAGTCTGTGGCATCGTATCTATCCAAAGACCCACTATCTATCCAATATGGATCAGTGTTTGAGCCCTAATAGCTAATATGACAACTTTACTGAGAGCGCCAGTGTACATTAGTGTTTTTTAAGATGCTTGTCCTTGGATATAAATTACTTTTTCAAAAAACTTAATTTGATGGTATCTTGCTGTGTGCCAAGTTCTTTTAATGAAGGTGAACAAAACCCCCTTTTGTTTCATCCCACTTTTATGTCTTAGAGATGCAAAATCATAATTTTGTCTTGAACAAGTCTCTCTCAAATTACTGTGATGCTGTAGTGTCAATGACCTCATTACAACATCTGGTAGGAGGAGAAATTGGACTGCCAAGAAGGAATTCTATACACTGCTCCCTTAGATTATAGTAAATGGCGAGAACATCGCCATGAAATGCATGAGGTGATTAGATTCAAAAGTAAATATGGGACGTTGAGGTTATAATAGACAAGACTAATAGAATGTCTAGATTTAAATGCAGCATAGACAAAAACATTGGCCTTCTGGTTTTGGCTATCAGGTTCTTTGTTTTCAGTTTTTACCAAATTTTATTTGTAAGCTTTGTGGTGTTTTACAACTTCTTCAATTTTTACTGATTTTGTTACCCAGATTTTGAACCACAGTACATGGAAAATAGACTGGATTTTCTTAACCGCTATTACCTAAAGTAGTTGTGTGTTAATAATTTAGTATAAAAGAGTGTCACATTTACAATCAGAGCAAGGCAGCGAAGTGAAGATGTACGTTGTATGTAGCCAGAAAATAGTTAATTTTTGTGCCACTTTTCACTTTAAATTTTGTAATAAACATTGGTACATTCCAGGGAAATCTTAACTGAAAACGAAAAACCACTGTTGTGTTCCTAACTCAAATCAATGCAGAAGTAATGTGCTTGTTTAATCTTCATGGTTTGCCAGTCTTGTAAAAGGATCATGACACTGGATACTTTTGAATTTACACTTTGTAAATTCAAGGACTAAAATTAGGTCATAAATCTAGGTTTAAATTACAAATGCTGTTTATAACAAAGCATTTGATTTCCCCCCGCTTCTTCTCCCCCCCCCCGCTAATTGTACTTGTCAGAGTCCTGAACTCAAGAACTATGAAAGCTATCACAACTGCCTATTGCATGGAAGGCTAATGTAAAATCTTGACCCAATTCTAGAGTTAATTTCTCCTTTTGAGAATATATGCAACTATATTACAGGCCATCCTTGCTATAAGTCCAAGATATGTTCCAAAAACCTTGGACTTATAGTGAAGCACAGCGGGGAATTTTTTTCCTACAGCTGACTTCCATTTGTGTAAATTGTGGGGGGAGGGAGGGTTGTGCAACTCCAGAACAGGGAATGGGAGAACTTATAATGCATCAGTTCCTACAAGTGTCAATGACTCTAGTGTGAAACAGATGTATACTGAGGTGACGTATAGCAGGGACGCCCTGTAATGCTAAATATACTGATAGTCAGGGCTTGACAATTAGTGTAATCTACTCGCCACGCAGCGCAGCATGCCAAACCACGCGGCTGGCGAGCAGGGCTCGCTGCCGCTTGGTAAACCCTGTTGATAGTGATTTGGGATCTAAGATAAGCTTGTATTTTCCAATTAATCCTAAAAACAGTCTCTTACGTGAAATTCCTGAGTCAATGGGCTAACTATAGAATTGTCACATTAAAAGACAGTTTTCTTCGTGTAAACCAAAGATGTCTTAACTTGATCACTCAGGTGTGTGAAAAATCCACAGATGCTTGAGCAACATAGTTAAGACAGTCCGTCCCATCCCAGATGGCTGCCTCTCCAAACCCTCCAGTCAAGCAACTTCCATTGCCCCCTCTTGATTCTGGCCCATTGGCCTGCAGCTCCAGCATAGATGGTGCTAAATCAACGTGAGATTCTTACCTTGATCTACAGCAGAGCTACTGAACGTGTGGCCCCCAGGTGGGAGCCAAAACAAAAAAAATAGTCAATATAATGGTCTTCTGTTGATCTGTGTTTTAGTAGTTAAATTCCTAGACTGTCATTGCTCATTAAAAGTGCTGTCATATGGGTGGACATCGGGTAAATATTACATTTGATTAAAATCAGCAGAACTGACTTAAATGGGGCCTGTGTGTTGTGTAGTCTTGCCTTAATCTTTATATTCATGCCTGTCAGTGTGAAATAAGTTATTTGCATGTATATGGAGCCACACTTAAGTTGTGGCCCTCAGCATGTGTTTTGAGTATCATTGTGACCCATAGGGCTTCCAAAGTTGAATAGCCCTGATCTACAGTAACATCTCTTTGGGAGGTAGAGTACTTATGTTGATGGTAGAACCCTTCCCATCAGTTTAGGTAGTGTGTCTGCACAAGTGCTACAGTGATGCAGCTGTGCTGGTGTAGCATTTCAAGTGTAGACATGCCCAAAGTGGCTGGGTAATGAGAGAACCAACATTTAAAATACAGTTACTGTTGCCTTTCTGAACTTTCCCAGGTTGTCTGAGCAGCATAATGACCATCTGAGTGGGTTCATCCAGGCACATGTGGTAGTCTGTAGTTGTAGTTGAAGTTGAAATGCATTCTTGTTAAGTCTCACTTTTTAGATGACCTCCACCCTGCCGTCATCTCCTCAAAAGAAACCAGTCCCCTGAAATGTTAGCTCATCTGTAATAGTACAGGATATAGGGTCTTTCTGAGGAGCTTAATTCAGAAGAGAGGTTATAAAGGTATGTTAAACTTGTTTTTGAACACTTGCCCAATCATTTTGCTCTTATGTACAAACATCTTCGCTTTGAAAGTCATGTGCACATGTGCATTGGCATGTGCTGCAGCTACTCCACTGTAGTGTAAATGTTTACAGCAACGATGGAAGGGGTTTTTCTGTTGTAGTAAATCCCTCTGGTTCAGAGGCAGTAGCTAGGTCAAAGGACTGTCTTCTAATGATATAAGGTGTCTTCACTGGAGATTAGGTTTGCTTAAATTTTCACACCCCTGAGTGATGTAGCTAGATTGGCCTGAACATTAGTCATAGATCAGGCATCTTAGTGTGGCCGGGCTTATTGAGGGAGATACAAGGAGAATTGTTCAATTTAAATTTTAAACTCTGCTCTGTGTACATTGAACTTCTGTTAGGGCTCTTCCACATTTTGCCATTGTGGTGGCTTTTGTTTAGCTAGCAAAAGCTGACACACTATGGTGTGATGGTTGCTTACAAGCTCCGCAGCTACACTTGATTTTGTTGGTGACGAGTCTAAATACGAGGGATGTCAAAATGTGTTTATATAAACAAGTAACTGCTGACATTTTCAGTGATTACACGTTTACATGCAGAGGGAAGACCTCCCCCCTCTCCGTGTTGCTTCTGTTCTCTGCGTGGTGGGGGTGGAAGAAGACAGGTTCATGGGAGTAGGTATGCACAGGGTGCCAGCACCTGCCTGCCCCTTCCTCTCCCTTCTCCCCCCTCCCTCGGCACGGCATTTAACTGCACGTTAACGGATGAGCCATGCAGGTACACATCCCCAGTAAATACAGGCCTAGTGGTTACTAATGGTTACTGGATGGGCTTCATACAGATGTCAGACTTAAGTCTTTGATTATTGCAATTAACTTTCAGGCTTCAGATCAAAAGCTCAGCCATGAAAGATCCAAGTCGCAGCAGTACTAGCCCAAGCATCATCAACGATGATGTGATTATTAACGGTCACTCTCACGAAGACGACAATCCATTTGCTGAGTACATGTGGATGGAGAATGAAGAGGAGTTTAACAGGCAGGTAAGTTGCTTTAGTTTTCATATTGGCTGTAGGGTGTTCCATTTGTGTTTCTCGCTCGCAGTACAGACAGCATGGGCTAGTGACTGGAGTCCTGACTAGCAATCTGCAGCTCTGGGTTCTAGTATTGAGTCTGCCACTGGGTTGCTAATGTTGGGGAGGTCTCAATCAGTGATTTTTTTTCCCCCCATCAATAAAATAAGTAACTGCCTGTCTTTTGATGACTGGATGAAAACTACTGTAGAACTACATTTTTATTTCATAGCACAGAGTTGCATGGAAATATGCTATGTATAAAGCTGTCTTCCACAGCGTAGCTTACAGGGAAGAACTGTGGGTTGGAAGACTTTTCATGAGACCCTTTGGGGAGGGGTTAATCTCGTCGGACCAGGTTACAGAGTATATAACCAGGTGAAATGTGCCTACAAGTGCACCATTGGCCTTTATAACATCACCTGCAGAACCCTGCTTGGTTATGAGACTGTTGAGGTAAGATGGTTAGAAAAGGGGAGTTGGAGACCCCTATATAAGCACCTAATACTTTCCTTTGTAGAAGATTTACCTCTTTCTTGAAGGATTTACACCTGTTTACAGCAGGCCTCTGAAACTCATAATCTTTCCAGTGATACCTTACATGTGAAATCTGGCATAAATTGTATGTTATGTCATTCGTATCCTACATATTTTCATAAGACACAGAATGTTGTGTCATAAGAGGCCTCTAAAGTCTTGTGTGGAGAAAGTGAATGAAGAAGTTGACTTTTACATAACACAGCCAGGGATGAAATGTAATGGCCAGCAGGATTAAAATGAACAAAAGGAAGTTTCTTCACACAGTGTACAGTCAACCTGTGGAACTCTTCACCAGGGAGTGTTATAGAGACTAAAGTTATAATGGTGTTTAAAACCTCCCAACCCCTAGATATGCTCATGGAGGAGTGGTCCATCAGTAGCTATCAACCAAGATGCTCATGGATGCAACCCCATGCTTTGGTGTGTCTAGCCCCCAGTCCACTCAGCAATTGCCTCTTCTCTTCATTCCTTCTGAAGCGCCTGGCATTGGCCATGGTTGGAATACAGGATAGTGAGCTAAATAGGCCATTGGTATGATCCCATAGGGTTGTTTTATGTTCTTATGATGTGTCCCCAGAAATTCTAGTTATACACGTGGGTGTGTGCAGAACCAGTGAGGTCATGGTAACTTGCAGTGCTCGGCCGTGTGGCTGCTCACATCCTGAGTGCAGAGTTAACTCAGCAGTGGAAATAGAACATTGAGCAGTGAGTCTCAACTATTTGTCTTTGAGCAGAATATGCAGCTTTCTGTGGGCTGCATTCACACAATATAGACTCTACCTATATGTCTGTGAGTATCATGTGAACATCCACTGTGCGCTGATTGGGTGGGAGATATAGAACCACTGTATACACGCACGTGTCACTGTATACACAATGGTACTCTTTTTTTCCCCCCTTTTTAACTTTAGATTGAAGAGGAATTGTGGGAAGAAGAATTTATTGAGCGTTGTTTCCAGGAAATGCTGGAAGAGGAGGAAGAACACGAGTGGTTTATTCCAGCTCGGGACCTCCCACAAACAATGGATCAAATCCAGGACCAGTTTAATGACCTCGTTATCAGTGACAGCTCATCACTGGAGGATCTGGTGGTATGTTTCCTCTTAGCTTGTTCTTAGTTAACTTTGTATTTGAAATTTAAATTAAAAAATTGCCTTCCCCAAGTCTCTGCAAGCCTTGACTGGTCATGAAAATGGCTAATACAACAAAGAGCAACAGCCATTTATCAGTAATATAAAGGCTCTCAAGCTTAGACCCCATACGTAATCCAGATATCTTTCATGTGATATGTATGTGTGTTTAGAAAATTTCAAATGATTGGATACAGTTCTGTTTTCAGACCAAAAATGGTATGGAATGTGATAAAGCAGAAGTTCTGTGGGATTGTCCATAGAATAGCATGGGTGTTTGGCATAGTCCATGCCACAAATACTAGTGCTGTGTGGGTGTAGATACTGCTTGGCAGAAATCACTATGTACTAAATGAAAGGCAAAAGGTTGAACATGCTGACCGAGTGGTATGCAGTGACAGCAATGGCTTAATTCAACAGCTCTTGTTGCATACAAAATCTGATGTACACCCAAACACAAAGTTCACTATCCTAGAATTGGACATGTCGGAAATAGTGCTGTAGATTGAAATAATACAGCCCAGATCTTGTTTGCAAGAGATTTTTAGAATGTTTTGAAAGATTACCTCATTTGTATTGACAGTAGCCAGTACCATTTAATTGTTTTGTTAGCCCAACACTTTAAAATAGGTACAAATGACTTTTATTTGTGGGTGACTTATCATGCCAGGAAACACACATTTTTTGCACAAACTTAGTGTAAATCTTGCTAACTCTCCTTTACCAGTACTTGGAAGTATTTTAGGAACTGTACTTACATTTACAAAGATATTGAAATGCACTAAAAGTACACAGAGATGTTTCAGACTGTACTGTTAACCCAGAACAGTTAATTTCAATAAGCAACTAGTATAAAATATCTTAACCAACAATCCCAAAAGCAACATGGCAGTGCTGAGACATACCACACTGATACTTATGACAGCTGCCACTTCATGCAATGGCTACTGACCCATGAGAAAAGTACACAGGGTACATTCATTAATGTCAGACTTACCTAGAAATCTGACAGTAAATTGGATGCTAGCTTGACCCTAATGCTACTGATCAACTACACACTAAACTGTTTTACTAAAATTGGTACTTCACAATAAGACTTGAAAGAAGAAAATTAACTATATGTAGCTTCAAAGCTAACACATCTGATTCAAGATAGCAAAACATATAACTGTCCTAAAATAGAAAGTGGTAACACAAGGTGCTGGTGAGACAACTAATTTAATGTGTAAACCAATTAAGAGGTTAAATAAAATTTGTGTTCCCAGCTATCCCAGTCTGTTAGCTTCCTTTTTTAGGAAATACATGGAAATTTTGTGTAAAATGAAGTTTCTCTTGTCGGCACCATAGTTTTAAAATTCCAGAATTGTCTGGAATTAGGGTGATTGATTATGAAATAGTCAGGTGTAAGTGTAATACTCTGTTTAAATGTAGCTCTTCTTTGAAAGAAAAATCAGCCAGTGGATTAAAACTATTTAAGTTGAACATCTAAAATAGTGTATTTGTTTATGTTGCATAACTGAATGTGTCCACAAACAAATGTATAAGGCTTGAGACCATGTGCCATTTGTCCAGAGAGGATCTGACTGAATTAAAGCTCTGGCATTTTGGCTGTGTTAGGGAGATGACTGGATTTAATTTACAGCTTTTCAGGTAAAGTACTGTGTCCTTAGCATTTGTACAGTGCCTAGCACAATGGGACTGAGATTTGATTTGATTGAAGCCTCTAGGTGTTGGGGCTTTTTAAAGACACTAAAAGTGAATTAATAGCTCTGCTCTTAGCATGTCATGATGAGCAGGTGAAGGGTTCCAACCCCTTTGCACTGAATATAGTATACTGAAGAACCCATGCTAAAGCATCTCATTTTAAACTTGTAAAGGGTAGCTCTGAATAAGGCTGTTTTTGGTCAGAATATGAGAGATGAAACCACAGCATTACTTTTAGTAAACTGGAAATGTCTCTTTCTCCCCAGGTCAAGAGTAATCTGAATCCAAACGCAAAGGAGTTTGTTCCTGGGGTGAAGTACTAAATATTTGAGTAGACTGGGCCCTCTTTTGGTGGATGTAGCACAATTTCCACACTGTGAAGCCAGTATTAGAAGATTTAATTGTAAAAGCTCTCTTCTCGTCACTGTGTTACACTTATGCATTGCCAAAGTTCTGTTAGTCTTGCATGCTTAATAAAAGTGCTGAGACTGTTATTAAGTAAAAAGCTGTCAAAAGTTTAATGAAAACATAATTGGACCCTGGCTTTCTGTGAAGGAGACAGTGAGGTAAGAAGCACCAGTCAAGTTGAGACAATGTACCAAATTTATGAAAACCTCTTGCAGACTCTGTCTTTTTAACAGGATTTAGGATTTGACTAAGGATGGTCTGTTACAAAAACATGTCAACTGGTGTTAATTTGCACCTGATAATGCCTTAACTAAAAGCAAGGTTATCTGATCATTATGCAAATTAGCTAACTTTCCGTTTCAATTTCAGTATTTTTACTAATGTTAATTTTTCCCTTATCAAGAAAAACTTTACTTCATGCTCTTTTTGAGAAGTGTGAATAAACTGTCATACCAGACTTCTACAGACCTGTACAGAGTCCTAGATCTCAGCTACTGAACTAACAAATAAGCAGTTGGAAGAAATTTCCTGTATTTACAGTATGTTATCATGTTACAAATGTTTATTTCACTTCCTAATTACATGTAAGGAGCTGTGAGTTTCATCACAATTTCTTCCAAGAACTTGGATACATAGCACACTGTCTATGTAACTTCTAGCAAATGATCTTACTAGAGCTGGATTTAACCAAGAAAACTTTAGCGTTAGTGATTTGAGTGGTGCTTTTCCCTTGCTTTGTTTAATCATCACTACACAATAGTCTACAGCACAACAATTTTTTTCTTTTAATAAAGCTAGAACAGTTTTGGCTTCTTAAACTTCATATTTGGGTAGGTTAAGCTGCCATACGTGTTCAGTGTGAATAGTGTTTAAGTTGAAAATATTGTAAAAAAATTATATTTTTTCAAAAATATTTAAAAAAATAAATAATAGTAGAAATGATTTGGTGATCGTCTCTTGAATATGCACCCTACTCAGACACATGCACTTGGCAACGTGAGGAAATGAGGAGGATGATTCTATACCACTCCAGGAAGAATAGTGCTTAAAGTTCTAACGAATGGTACTCCTTAGAACAAGTCCCATTGGAGCTGATATCCGATTTGCTTTCCCTTTCTTCATACTGCCTTGGCCAGCTTCCCCTATGCCTATTTCTCATGCTACTAAGTGCAGGTGAACTTTGTCTTGACTTGCAGCATTGCAAACCCTGCTGTAGCCAGTGCCCAGCTCAGGGCACCGTTTGAAGTACTGTCTAAACCCGAACCTTTCAGAAGCTTTTATGGCCCAATCCGTCCTTGCCAGACTTTGGGTGTTGAACACAAAGCTATTGGAAAACACTGGAAAGGCCTTAAATCATCAGTGTGGCTTTAGTGAGTAGTTTCAGAGTGTCGCCAGAACAGAGAGGGAGCCTAATTTTCACTCTGCGGACTTGCTTTGTTGGTGCTCTTAATGCTGAAATATCCACTGAACAGACTTTCTTGGAGATGAACCAGAATCCTTTCCTTCTACATGTATGTGCACTTGACAGTGCCAGATTGTTTCCATTCTCATCTATTGGATTGCTTCTGTTTTTAATTTGAGGCATGTTGAGTAGCTTAGTCACACTAGTGTTTTGTCATCTCTATGCACCCATTTGTATTACTGATCAGCAGCTTTGATATTTACTACATTTAGGGCAAGAAGCTGCTGCCTAGAGGAATCTCTGGCATTTAGGAGGGTAAAATAAGTTTAATTTGACATTCTAGTATAAACCTACATTATTGGAGGCCATGCACAATTTCAGGGCATTTACCAATTCTAGCAAACTAGGCTTGCCAGTTTTAAACTCCACCCACTGACCTCTCCAACATCTGACAGATGTCGCCATTTGCTATCCCTGTGCCCTTCTGAGTCACCAGAGAGTTATCCGTTCCCCTTCGTAATACGCTGCTAGTCAGTCTGTAGCAAGCTGACTTAAGGGACGCAACAAAAACTTCGATCTCATAACTTCCCATCTTACCTTTCCTTTGCAGATTTAAAATGAGCCTAGTTTTTATTGGTATCAAATGTTGGAACATGAAACCAATCTGAAATGCCACGGCACACCGCTTTTACTCCTGGGGCTGGGGGCTGGGCTAAATATTTCCCTGGAAAAGTGCTGCAGCCGTGCCAATGCAGTTTCTTCCTCCAGCCTTAATTGTCTTTGGACAGGACTCCAAGCCTGCAGTGAGCCCAGACGTCATTAAATGGAGATGTGCTGCTCAGGAGGCACGTGGCTGCCGAATGCTCTCACTTGCCCACAATATATGTAGGCGCCTACTAGTGACTGACGACAGAAAAGGGCCAACACAGCACGTAGCACGAGAGGTTTATTAATGACACTTCCAAGTGGCAGTGGGTGCTCTCTGGCAGCATTGCTAGTCACAAAGACCCTTCCCTTTAAGATTGTATCACTCTTCCGCAAGGGTGCCCTGGCCCATGTGCATCTCCAGTTACAAGCTGTGTTTTTGTATTAATGGGACACTTCAAGCTCTAGGGAGGAATCACTCCTTGCATTAAATAGCCCCAGCTTGGGTGTGGTCGAGGTGCAGTGCTTGTGCGTTCCGTTCCTAGGACTTAAACAGGTGTTTGCAGAAACTTCCCACTAAGCAATTCTGGAAAGTGACTGGGCAAGAAGGCAAAATTCAACTGATTGCATCCTATATTCAGAATCCATTTCTCATACCAGGGAGGGAGAGGAAGAGACACACACACAGCCCCTCCCCCACACACTTTACATGTTAGCCCTCCTCAGCTAATACAGCTCAGAAAACAAGCTGCTCTGTTCACTGTTGTGCATAATGAACAGTTACTTAAGATCTAATTATACCTGTGCAAACTCTTGACAACTAGGTAGTTGCTCAGCAATTGGTGGTGCATCATTTGTCTAGCAGAACTTCCTTCACAAGGTGAAAAAAGATTGCTCTGGTCATGAATTGCTGAGTGTGGAAGCCAGGTTTACATTGGCATTGTGTGTAGAACCACAGCCTGTTGGATCGGGCATTCAGGTAGGTGTTAATGGGCCTCCATATATGACAGTTCAAGAACTCTACACATGCCAACACTTAATAGTCAAGAATTTTTGGGGGGCATTTCCTAGCAGTCCCTTAAACGGCAGCATGGCAAAGGGTTAGGTAGCTTTTACTCTGTGTGAACAGGTAATAAGAAAGATGGAGGGGTTCCACAGAGCTATCTAACAAACTTTTCCAGGGTTATGCTGCAGGATGAGGGAGGCAAATACAAGGGGCAGTTCGCTCCCATAGCAACAAAAAACACCGAGAAACCAGTGATTTGTAATAGTAACGGATCTAGTGGTGAACTGCATTATCCCAGCAATAAATGCCATGGTGTCCATATTGCGTGTCCTATGGTAGCCATGCCGATCCAGATTGATCCCTGCTGTAATTCTGCTGAGGTTTGTGGAGTTGCACTGGAATGAATTTAGCCCAGATGGTAGTTCATTACACAGGATGACCAGTTGAGCTGTGTAAAATCTCTCACCCTAAATTGGTTTAAAATTTGATCCAAACTTTGCTGGCAGTGACTGGAATGCTCACGAGGCTGGGCAGGGCTGGGCATGTCAGTGAATCTGGGCAAAGTTTTGAACAAATCTGAAACCAGTTTGAGGTTCGAGTTGGAAATGATGCAAAAGTCGGTTTGAAGTCTGTCCAGCTGCAGCTCTGCTGGTTTGGCTCAGCGGCTTTGAGCTTTGTAAGACTGACACCCACTAGCCAGCTGCTCAAAGCTGGAGGCTCATGCCATCGCAGAGGAAGTGGGCCAAGACTGTTGCACAGGCTAAGACTGAACACAGCACAGTGTAAAGAGGAGTGACTCAAACTAGGGTGTGTTTCCTTTGTAGAATCCACCGGGCACCCCTAGGAACTGATCCCTATGTTTCCCCTGCTTCAGTTTGACACGGCTCTCCTCCCCTGGCCTTCCTTCAGTGACCTACAAACTAGACCTGTGTGCGTCATACTGAAGTGGCACTGAACGATTTCTCCCCGTTGCACCACAGGAGTGTCTCAGACTTTGGTACATACAAAGAGATTGTCTGTGTGCTCTTCTACGTTCTCCGTTGTGTCACAATTCCTTGTTCTTGAACTGAACCCCTTGAAAACAGGACACACTGGCACATATTTCAACCACTGGATCCTTTTGACTACACTCATCCCAAATGGAAAATCGTAGCTTTTCAAATTTGCAGCGGTGGTTCTGTCTGCATGTGCTCCAGCCTTCCACTGGACCAGCCCGCGCTCCTCCTGTGTCCCTGCAGGGGGAGAGGGAGCCTGAGAGTTAGGACAGCAAACTAATTAAATAGCTTTACTTATTCAGAGTAATTGGCTCTGACTCTGCACAAACACTCGTCTGGAGAAAGGGCTGTAACTGCAGATCAGACCACTGACTTGTTTAGGCTGGTGTCCTGCCTTCTGAAATGGCCAGTGCCTGATGCTTCCAAGACTGAAAAAATGCCTTTTGCTAGTTGCTCAATGCTGTACAAAGAGAGGGAAGCCCACAAAACCCACCCCCCTTCCTTTTTATTATACCTGATCCCTGAGATTGGATTGCTTCACTCTCAGTGGACGGGAAATGTAGTTAAAATGATCCTGGGGGAATTCTGCATGCAAAAGTGGGGCAGGATCATGTTTGCACTGCTACATCTCTTGCTAGTGTTTGCGCAGTTATCCTAGCCTTTTTAAAAACAAACTCTGCTGTGGTGTTTGGCCCAGTGTTTTCCTGCAGCAGAGTTCCTCAGGTTGAGTAGGTGCTTCATGAAATGTGTCCCCATACATAGAAATGTTTTACTCTTTAATGTCAGTGAGTGACCCTCAGTTGCCATGGTATAAGACGGGCTGTGCAGAAGGACTGATCAGTTGTACCCATCATTATAGTGAATTAAGCACTCAGTAGATTCCTCTCTCACTGTTTTGCTGTTCCTGTTACTTAGCACTTGGGGACTGCAAGCTGGACTATTGTGCCAGGCCAGTGATCCTGAGACTGAGGCTCACGAGCCGCCAGTGGCTCTTTATGTGTCTCTTGCAGCTCTTTGCAGCCTATGATGACCATCATGGTATGATTTAATTATTAACCAATCAGGATGCTTTTATTGTGTTCTTGAGCAATTGTTGAATACTTGGTTAGTCGTTTTGCTGTGTGTACATCTCTATATAAACTGAAACAATGAATTCATACGACTGGCTCTGTTGCATT